TTCTTGAAGGTCAGCTTCTGTTTGCTGTTAAAAGCAAGAATTACAAGTGTGGGGCTTGGTTTATATATTTTCATCCTTTAAGACAGTACAGCTGCTTGTGGCTTCAGAATCATAGGAGGAATCATGTTAGAAGACATAAAGTTGTAAAAGCCATGCTCTCCTCAAGCTCTGATCATGAGAATGGGGTTATCCTTTGCAGGCAGTCTCATTACTCTGGGTCAAAATCAAACTGCAAGCTGTTTAAATTTGCTGATTTTGTCTTGGAAGGAGTACATATTCATATGAATTGAGGGTTCAGCCCATCATACTTTCTGCATACAGTCTGAACATGGGCTTCTAGGCTGTTGTTCTTGAATTAGAAATTCAAATGTGGGTAATTTAAAATTGTTCTGACTTGTGCTTGGTTTTAAAGAAATTAAAGTGCATTTTGCTTAAACGCTGTATTGTGGTGTGGAGATAGGAAGTGAAATGACAAAATCGATAATAATTTTTTAGGTGACAGTAATGTAAAGGAGAATATTTGCTGTTAAAAGACTTTTTACTTGTCTTTCAGTGTCCTCAGGCAGGGGTCAGAGAYGGCAGCTTGCTTTCTCTTTGAAAAATAAGAATTTTTAGTTCAGGATTAATTTGTTTTATACTGTCTGTTTTATATGTGTGGTATATTCTGTTGTATGAATACAGAAACTGGATTCTGACTACACTTTTTGTCACTGTATATATATTTTATTATTAATACAGGAACTGCTTCTGTTTAAGCAATGTGTATATTTATATATATTGAATGTGGAGAACAGCATGAATTGCCTTTTGCCCATTTGCATTCTTTGAATTTTTTCTTAGGAAGCAAAACATAAATACATAATAGCCTGGTATGCAAAGGGAAGTATAATAGCATAGTGGAAGGAAAAACATTCAGAAACATGCCTTCCTTTAGTAGAAAGCCATTCTTCCCAGTATTGTGCTGGTTAGCTTTCCTTTGAACAAAGCCACTTCCACAGTATCTGTAATTCCTGCATGCAAATTTTAACTTCTCAGAAGATTATTTGAAAGGCTTTTTAAACATTATCTGTTATATCATGGCACTTAATGTCCTGCTATTGTCATGCACTTAATGCCCCTGCAGTCATGTGGGAAGCCTGAGATAGAGAGAGGTATGTGTGAACCAGAYCATGCAATTCCTAGTCTTCCTTCTGTCCCCTATTGTATTGGAATGTCTTCCTTTATTTTACCTGCACACCATTCCCAATTATGAACATCATTATCTCTGTGGGTTCCAACTTTGTTAATACAATTAAATATATTTGGTAGCTATTCTTTAATACCAGTAAAATGAGATACTKAAAGGTTACTGCCGGAAATGTTTGGATCTTAAAATTTTCTCATAGTCTCTTGTTACATACCAGATCAGCCTCAGTTCCTGAACATGCAGCGTTCCCACATCCTCCTGCAACTCTTCAGGCAAAGTCCACATTTTGCCAAAGTATTGCTTCATGTATCATCCAGAAATTACATAATTCCTCAGCTCCTGCTTTTTATACATTGATACTCTTGGATAYAGCACATGTATTTCTTTTGTTCTTTCATCATAACGGATCCCAATGTCTGTAAGTCCAGGGCATGTCATTTAAATGAAAGGCCTGTGTGGCCATCTGTGTGAATGAATATATTGCACATGATGTATAGATTGCTGTGGGTTCTGCAAGTGTTAAAAATCTTTCTTTTCTTTCATATTTAGTCAGTTAAATTTGTGTTAATTGAATTCCTGTCTTACTCTAGTCCTTTCATTAGCTGGGTCAAGAACTTTGCTTTCTCTGTGATGCAGTTAGCTTATGTTGAATTTGAGAAGTTCTAAATGATCCTTATAATGGGTTGTGAAGACTGTGAGGACAGCTGTCAAATTCTTGATTAGCCGTTCTGTCAGAGAAGAATAGCAATGAGTTAAAACTATGGATGCCTTCCCAGACAAGAATTTAGTGTTATTCCAAGGAGCTCTTTCTAATGCCATTTACCCTTGTAGTATACCTAAAGCAGCTTTTAAGCMGACAGAATACCCCTCTTAAAATGAAATATGATGCTCCAGGGTGGTTGTAAAAGAAAATACTGTTTCTGGTTCAAGTCACATGTAGCAGTCATGGCTGTTAAAGCTCTTTGTCGGTAGAATGAATCAGTATTGACTGCCTGGTTACTCTTGTGGGTCATTACCTTGTCAGTTAATTGGAAAGCTTGTGAGGGGCTTCTCTGTGATAGTGTTTTGTGGTAGAAGAAAACAACTGGGAATAAATGTAGTTAAAAAGAGCTTGTAGTCGGTAACTGTGGCTGGTTCGTACATGGTTGTTATTGCTGTGTGTGTGTTGTGTGTTGGGCTGATCTCTGCAAGGGATTCCTGTGGTATCACTCTGAAGGCTAAAGGATTTGAATCAAAATACTGCTGTGAAATTCATACCATAAATAACACAAATATGCTTGTAAGAGTCTGTGTGAATGCTGTAGCTGTAACAAAAGGATCTTTAGATTTGAGTCTGTGGTTAATGCAGCTGTCATTAGCTTGGGTCAAATTAATTGCTTACTTATGATCTCCTTCATTGATGTAGGTCAGATTAATATAAAATTCCATTAAAACTATAGTTCTGCAAAATTCTCTTAAAACTAGTTCTGCTGTCGTTKACATGGCAGCATTTTATTCCTTATATGTATTTTCAGTGACTTGATAGAGATTCATAAAAAAGAAATCTGGGTATAAAAGGGTCTTTTTTTTTCCCCACTCAGCACCTCGTCCTGAAAGTCTGCATGGGCTTTGCATCCTTGTTAGCAATGCAGATTTGACAATTGGGTCCTAGTTTGCAATGTTGTTTTGGATGTGTTGTTTCAAAAGAAGTTAAAAATGGATCTCTCTTCCTGTTAGCTGCATGAGTTCTGCAGAGCAGCAAAATGTATGAACCTGGGGGGGCTTTCTGTGAGGAAGGCAAACAGATAAGAGGAAGAGCATGTGGAAGATATTTGCTAGATAGAGTTGCCATCTATATACTGTTGTTCTTCTGGCTACAACTGCACTTTATGTTTTATTATGGCCTGGATCTTCAGCGTTGAATTTTATGAGGCAGTTTCAGCACAATTGGGTCAGTCACCCATTATTCATTCAATTGCACACTGCAGCCTTGCTGCTGCCCCTTGACATCGGTACACAAAACCCAGCTTTTCTTTGCATAACCTGACCAGCTCAGATACCRATTGTGGGAGATGCTGAAAGTCACTGGGAGCTCCAAAGCATAAGAAAAGAAGTGGCTAAATAGTTCATTCCCTCTGGCATGCCCAGAGGCAAGCAGGGAGCTGATAATGGCATCATTATACATGCAATACTTTGTGTTTTGCACATATATTGCTGTAGAAAAGGRAGAAATTTGAGACTGCTATGTGGGAAATGTCATTAAACACTTTTACATAGGCTGGCAGCTCCATTTCTGTTTGTTGCATTGCACAGGTGCTGAGGTGGTAATGAGGTGGCAGGCCTTGCTGGGCTGTAGATAGAAAAGGTGTGTGCTCCATGAAGCAGGGTATTAGGGATAGCAGTGCATATAAAAACCTCATTAACATGATTAAATGATATGCTGAATTGTGCCTCTGAGGCTGTTTCACTCCCATGTGCAGCTGGGCAAGATGATCCAGCCAGCCTTTCTGTAGGTGATCAGTAACTGAGTGCAAGTCCAGCTTCACCTGCTTTGGGATTCAGGCACCTGAAAATGCTGACTCTTGAAATAGGGCTCAGTAATTGCTGTGCTTAGAAAATAAGAGCAGGCTCTCAAAAGAAACCTGAAATGCATGGAAAAGAGAAATGCAAAGCAGCAGGAGCGGCGTGCACGTCAAAAGAGTCTCTCAGTCATAGTGTGCTTTCTGAATACCAGCAGCTTGTGCTTCCTCCACCTGTAAAATGAATGCAACACTGCCTTCTTATCGTGCAAGAGCATCATTGAAATAAACGATACTCCAAGTGATGTCTCTGATGTGTTTGGATATTTCAGTGCTGAACACTAGAGAAAAGCTCAGCAATAAATTAATAGTTCTTATTTGGSGAAAGTAGTAATGGTAGGTTGCAGAAGAAGTACAGTTTTTCTAACACAGGCATGAGGAAAAAATGAGATGCTGCCAAAGGGGAGTGCTGAKTGTCATGTACACAGAACTGAGGTGTTTGACAGAAAAGAAAATAATGTGTGAGAAAGTAATTGAACACTGTATAAAAAGTGTACACCTCCTAAGTTAAAAAGAGAGCAGTATTAAAAYTGCAAAAATAATCTCTCTCCTAACTCCTGATGTTTGATTTGACTTGGATTTTTCGAACTTCATGTTAAAAATGTAAATGGTTAATTTATTTAAAAGAAAAAAGGCACGGGTTTACTTTAGATTCAATAATATAGAAGGAGGAAACCTACTTGTTTTCAATATGTGGAAGAAAAATGTGAATTTTTTTTATGTAAACATGGGCCCACCATTCAATCATTTTGGTACAAATATTTGCTACTTTTTTATGGATCTAAAGAAACTGAGTACTGGTATCTTGCATAAAATTACTGTGAGAACATGTAACTGGGACTTTTTCTGGCAGAGTTGAAAACTAAATTGTAAGAAGATAGTAAACTGCCCATTCTTTGTGTCAAAAATGCCTTTGTGATAGGTGTTTGGATGACAGTCTAGCAAAGCACCAGTCCTGGGCATTGCTGGGAACTTCTAAGACATTATGATTACACAAATAATCATAATTGTGTTTCAAATGGTAAGTAAAATCCATATAGTCATTAATAAAGAACTGTAAARGTGCTGCTGGTAGCCCCTCTGAAACTAGATGTAGTTTTTATCTGGGTATTGGCTCTGTTGGATTTGTATGAGTCATCTTAACACTTTATTTCTGTATTAAAATATGTCTTGTTTAGCAGACTTGTGCAGTGTTGAGCAGAGCTTACCTTTATTTATTTTACTTATATTATTTATTTTATTTTTATTCCTTCTAGCCTTCAGGAAAAAGAACAATTGTTCAGCACGTCCATTAAAGAAACTACTGCCAAAGTAAGTGTATGTTTTCAATTCTTCAGAGTATTTATAGAAGCAGATCATAGTTTGCATCTTAATAAATGGTCTCTGTTTTATGAAGTTGTTTTTGTGGTGTTCCTTCTAATAAGATATTGCACATAAATATTTTTAAATGTATGCTGAAAAGCCCTCCTCAACTTTTTATTTGAACAGGACACAGAGATTATAATACTTCAGGAAGCCACTGGAGTAATCTCTTCTTTCTCAGCTTTTTTTCTCTCATGATTCAGGAACAGACTCCTCAGCTTCATGAAATCAGGGTCATAGCTGAATGTTTTCACTTTTAGTACAGAGTCTCTTACTTTTCTGCCCTAACCTGTTTTGTTGGTGTGAAGGGAAGGGCGTAAATGAAGTACCTATTTTCTCTACCATGTAATTAATAATCTAGTTTGCAATCTCATTTTCATATCCGTTTAAAAATACAAAGAAAGATGATATAGCATATTTAGCATAATTTTTATTTCTAACCAGAAATGTTAATAGTTTTCCTTTCATTTTGTTATTTCTCATGGGCTCTTTTCAAGAAGTAGAACACTGAAATTTTATTTCAGAATGGTCCAATTGCTCCATGAATGCTCCAGAAAAAAAAAAAATCCATTTACTCTAGCTAATTCACATAGATCTATATGAAACAGGAAGTGAAAAGTATTTCTGGGTTCCAATTAATAATTCATTTATACTCTGAAATAAACTTACGTTTCATATTCTTTCTCTAATAACACTCACTTAAATCAGGAAAAAAAATTATTCTTTATAATCTGTTCTTCCTAATCATCTTGACCAACACTTTTTGCATGCACTGTTAAAAAGATAATTTGAAGACTGCATCCCAATACCACTCCTTCCTTCTCTTCCACTTTATTTTGAGCTCATCTTCTCTTTGCTTATACTCATATTTTGGGGAAATTAGACTGTTACAATGCTTCCCCATTCATTTTTTAAATGACTGTGAAAAAAGTGTCAAGGAAATTTTTGTAACCGACCTATACCTGATCTAATAAAATGAATGAGTTGTTCAGTAACTGGATGTGATGTCTTGTTTCAAGTTATTTACARCCTRAAACATAAGGTATGGAGTTTGCTCYTCCCCAGAAAATATACCTCATAAGRTTTTATTTTATCACCATAGTATCTAGAGACTTTTCCAATAACAGTTGAAACATTCAATACCAGTAGAGAAATCTGTGAGGTGGAATTTCACAGTTTGCTTTTTYCTTTGGTTTTTCAATAGATAAAATATTATTTTAATTGTATTTCATTCTATGTGATGTCTTTTATTTATAGAAGATAAATAGGAAGCATGTAATGAAACTCCTTCAAATAATTTACTATTTAGTTTATTCAGGTCATCTCATCCTATTATTTTCATCTCAAAATAAATAGAGCTGATCTGTTAAACCTTTTTATTATATGGGGAAAGCATTCCTTTGTCAAAGGCCTTTCCTTTCTCCCTGTGCCACTGGCATTTCCATGGCCTTTTCTGCCTCATCTCTCTTGTTTTCAGCTGTGGCTGCAAAAGCTAACTTTTACCTGCTAATGAAGGGAGCACTGTCGCTTATTCACTACCTTCCTTCAGAAATTAATATCTGCTTTCACTAATGGCAAGATTATGCTGTGTGGGAGACCAGGTAGACTGCTTCTTCCTTTAGGCAGTGTTAGCAGAATTTATCTTTTCCAAGATGCTGTTGTAAAGAAATATGAAGGTTATTCAAAACTGCTTTTCTCTTGAGATGATTGCAGAGTCAATTCCAGTGCTTTGGTTGCTGTCCTTGTCCCTGTTTTTGCTACTTTAGATTAATATCATATGCTACAAAGATGGAAGAACATGAAAATGGGCAAATTTGCTTTTGATATTTGCTGCTTTTCATCTTGGTTCCGCATATCTTTGCTAACCAACTTCCTGCTGGTTTCAGATAGGCTGTTTTTTTGAGTAACATTTGTGTCTAAATGCAGGTTTGTAAGGTTTATTCCTAAACAAGAATCTTTATTTTTTTTTTAAAGTCTGCCTTAAAAAAAACTTAGAAACCACTGAAGAGGATTTTTAAATAGATRCAGTAATACTTGTCTGCAAAAACGTTTTCCTGAAACCATTTTTTTAGACTTAGAGCTTGTTGTTCCGTGGGCCACAGAGAGCTGGTCACTGAGAGCAGGGAAGGGGCATTGCTGGGTCCACAGGCACYTGCAGTCAGACTGGTTAGAGGAGGKYGGTCCCTGGAAGSCAAGGACGTTGGCTCTGTGCATGTTCACCATCTTTGTTAGCTAAGAAATAACCTTTCCATAGTGGCTGAATAAGCTACTGTAATGAGTAATGGTGTCTCTTATTAAGCTAAAATAATTAGAAAAAATGAAAAGAATTGGAGCTTGTAGAATAGTGCTGATGTAACGGAGAAGCAGTGCCATTGGATTGGGGGATATTGCTTTCTCTTTCCCACTTGCTCATTCAGTTTTGTTCAACTGTGCCATATGATAGATCCGAAGATTAATGTTGTTCATTTATCTACAGAATACRTGTGACATAGGTGCAAACAGAGGCTTGGCAACCTACTTATCTCATGTTCCAAAGTGTCATCTCCAGCTGGGGGACTGCCTTTCTGCCTCTGGTCCCCATGTTTGGTCCATTAACGAAGCAGKCCAGCAAGCTTTGTTCTGACAGCAGTGGTTACAAAGTGGACAGTACTCACTAGAAACTGATTAAACATCCCAGCTTATTTTGCATAATTGCCAAACAGCTGTCTAGTGATAATGACTTTAAGTTACTACCAGCATGGGATATATTAATTCAGTTTTCCTGGAGCTGGAAGATTCCCCATCTAATTGCAATTCACTGAGCCATTCAATGCCCCTAAAGACTGAGTCATTAAAAACTTTCAGATTTATTTTGAACATGGGAGACAAAAATTTCCTTTGGGTTCTTTAGGCACGTTTATTCACCTCTGACAGGTTTGGGGTTTTGAAAACATTTTAAGTGAATTAGCTGGTGAATCACTTAGAAGGGGGTACTGAAACTAAGTGAGGTATCTGGGAATTTAAAACTTAGAGTAGGTGCAGAAGTGATATGTGTTTTTGAATGAATAGAACAACTCTGAGGTCTTTAAAAGGAAGAGTTACTGCTTGGAGGATAATTTGGTTGACTCAAAAATATGACCCATTTATAGGCAACAGACAATCTTAGTAAAGCAAGAGTTACTAACTGAAAAGGATTTAAATCTAGTGTCACATCTTAATTACTATAATTCTATTGTACAAACAGATAAACCATTATAACYCTAAGGATTTTTCTCTTAAAAAGTGAAGTGATAACTGTGCCTTTGTTAATAAGCATGGCATTTGTTTTTGAGGAGGAAAAAATAAGTGAAGGAAAGCAGGGAAAATCCTCTCTGGAGATTTCTTTTCACATCACGTAATTTCAGAACTAGCCTTTGCCTATCTTGAGTATTGCTTTACCTTTGGTTCCAATGAATGGAGTGTTTTCTTAAGTGTCAGGTGCAATTTTAAGCAAGTGTTTGACATCTGCCTTTAAAACAAGGGCTTTGTCTTGTTCAGTGAAGGGTTTGGTTTTGTTCATTTTGCWTTCCTTCCCAAATAATGCAATATGGAGTCCATCCCAACCTTTTTTAGTATGTGGGACTTCTATGAATTGTGTATGCTGCWCAAGGTCCTTCTGAGGTGGCAATGTATACTGAAAAGTGAAGCAGAGAAACAGCTGAATTTCCTTTATATTTTTTTCCTCTCTTTTCTCTCTCCATGTTTTTTAATACCAAGCCTGATTAATTGCTGAAGGCCCTCCAGTTAAAAAGATAAAAAAGAGAGTGAGGAAAAGTCAGGAACCTGAACCCCAGGCATCTGTGCGYCCCAAATGTGAAATAAAGTACAGTATCAAGCTGGTATAGCCTTATTTGTTGCCTGTGCAGAAAATAAGGCTGGTTTCTCTTTTTTCAGTTAAAATGTGGAGCACTGTGAGTTTTGTATAAAAATCAGTGCACCTTTTATGTTATGGCATTTTGATCTCCCAATACTGGTTTATTTATGCTCCACTTCAAGCATCATTATTAATACTGATATTGTGCAGAATTTGTACCATAAGTTGGCCTTTCTTCTGTGTGCAGCCTCAGTRTCTCGTAGTGAAATGTCTTCTCTCATGCAGGTAGCTAATGCTAATACCATTTCCTACTTTTGTAATAGAATGTGCGGCAAAGCCTGGAAATTTTGATTCATGTTSGGTATTTCTGTAAAGACATCACTTTTTATTAAGCTTTTTTACCTTGCTGGAGGATGTTATGTCATGTCTGTAAACCAAGAACATTTGAAGCCCCATTTCAACTGCCTTACACTTTTACATGAATGAATTCTATATCATGGCTGTCTGCCTCAATTTAGGTTTGCACGAGTCAGAAACTCTGCAGTACTTTGAGGAGGAAAGTGAGTGATATTGAGACTCAACTACCAGCTCTACTCGAAGCCAAGATGCTGGCTGTTTCAGGTAAGTTTTAAATGATGAGAAGGACTAACGTTGTTAAGGAATGTATTAGAGCAATTATTGACCTCTTCATGACAGAAATATTATGAAAAGTTGTTCATGTGCTTGTGTAGATCCCTTGAAGCTGTGACCAGCCTGGTAGAACAGGGCTATGCCAAGCCTTGTGAAAGTGCTTCAGGCCCCTCTCCACAGTTTGGAACGATTGGCAAAGCTGATGTTGTGTGTTAGGCAGTAAGTGCGCAGAACACATGGTATTTTTCCRTGGTGAAATTGATGTATTATTACCAGTAGCTGTTCCAGGACTCCATAAGTTACATGCTTGCAGCTCTTTAGCAAAGTTATAAATTCACAGCTAAGGTATCATAATTAGAAGTGTGGCTTTAAATGACACTTTAAAATGGCCTACAATAATTGGCAACTTCTGCTGTTCAGATCATTGAACAGCTAATGTTGGCAGCAAAAGAGCAATTTTGTCCTTGGAGCACTCATGCGTGTTATTTACAACCAGTAAAACACTGAAATGTGATTACAGAGTCTGMTACATAACAGCCTTACATGCCACTTGCTTAGGATTGCTGCACTGTTCACCAAGAAAAAAAGGCAAATCACAGTTCTTTCTCTTAAGCTGGAAGAGGTGAGTTTGCTAATTCAGCAAATGTTTAAGTTTGTGTCTCTCTGCTAGACACCTGCCTCGGAGAGGAAGCTGAGTAGAAGGGAATGTGGACAAGMGTACAGGGAGTTTTCTAGTGTTACACCAAGTAATGAAAGGCTAAAGGGTTTCTGATGCACACCAAGATGAGATGTAGCTCTCCAAATTTATCTTTTCAATTAGATACAAGAGCCTATATTGCACATATAAATTATGTTAAAATGAGCCTTGTGCCATGTCATGTGGTTTGTTTGCCAGAAGTGGATMATATTATGCTTGAGCAAAGTCCTAAAGAAAATTAAGGCTCAGATCTCATATTGGTGCTGAGCATGTTCAGTTTCCTTACGTCCATAACACCTTTTTTAAATGGAAATCTTCTTTATTTCTCTCTCCACATATGAGAGGTAAACCGAGCAATCATCCTTCTCTACGCATAGACTGTTTAAATAGGCAATATTCTCACTTTCAGAAATGAGGTTTTATGGCTTGGAAACAAAACAGCMTGTAAACTGGACATGCAAGTGCTTCATGCTGTCAGTAGGAAGCTGTTGGCTTGAAAAGCTGGATCTCAGTCTGACATTTGGAGAGAGTGAATGACAACTTGAGGATCATTTCCAAAACATTCATAACAGTATTTTTGTGCTTGTTAACTCWTAAAAGAGGTTGCTTGTTTCAGGAATAAATTCCAAAGGCAATTCAATGCTGCTCTTTCTRTAAACTATTTTCACAATTCTTTGACTGCCTTTGTATGTTTTTTAAGRAGAATCAGTGCAATTTCTTGGTACTGATAAGAAACACTGTTTCTTTTTTCACTCTTGCTTTGGAGAATTTTAGTGACTGTGAGYAGTACAAATCTAACTTGTTATTAAGGTAAAATTCTGCATGGCATAGTTGAAAATMAAGGACGAAGGTAATTTGGTGTCAGTGGATACAGTATTTTTTTTACCTCATTGTAAGATACAGTTCCATTTAGTCGATGGGGTGGCACTTGTTTATGTAAAATGCAGAATTGCATACAGAGGACACAGGGAAGATATAAGAATAAAAAGAGAATTATTTCTCTGTAGACCTGAATGTAAAAAAAAAGTTAAAAAGCATCTGAAAACAGCAGAAATAGTCTTAGAGAATGAAGTGAATAAAATCAGAAAAGCCAGGATAGTGGAGTGAATTGCAGCTAACTAGCAGAGAAGCAAGTCAGGAAGAAAAGATTTGATAAATGCAGAAGTAGAAAGAGGAAGGAAGAGGTAAAAATTGTGGGGGTTTTGTTGGTTGGGTTTTTTCCTTTGGTGGTTTTTTTTTTTTTGGTAGTGTTTTGTTTGTTTTTTGTTTGTTTGTTTGTTTGCTTTTTTAACTTAGGAAGGCAAAACCAGTGAGCAATGGCTAATGGAGATGGCTGAAATAGTCTAGTTTCTCTGTCTTCCTGTGTTAGGTATAAATACATTACACCTTTTAAGTAGGGCATAGTTAAGAAGCAGGTCTTAACCTTCTAAATACTGGCTAAGATTTAAACAAGATACATTGTGTACATATTCCTGAGCTAACAATGTTAATGAACAGCCTGGATAAATTCAAWTGTTAGAAATTGGAAAAATGTTCAGTTGGATAATATGCAATTATTTAAGGACAGTCTTGGACTGTCATGACATTCAGAAGGAGTTAGGTAAATATCCAGCAATAATAAAGTTTAGTGGTCATAGCTGGAGGTTTTAATTTAGTCTGGAAACATCAGGCAGGGTTAGATGTCTGTTACTTCTACTTCTTTTTATGTAGCAGTTAGATAATTCATTSAGACAGGTTCTTCAAAAACAATTCTTATGGATACTGAGAACAACTTTTTTCTCTAGACATCATTTTTCATTAAAGTAGCATTTTTCTTGGGGAAGCAGTAATAGTTRAGTGACTTTGGAACAGTGTCACAGCAAAAAGGTGACTGTATCTCAAAAGCTGGATTAGATGAGTTAAAGTTATTAAGTGAAAATTAGCTTTCAGAGCTTATATGTGGTGAMTTAATGATGGCTTGGAAAGCATGATATATACCTCAGCCTTTAATGCCTATCTTGACAGCTTCAGACAACATTCATTTGCTACATGGACTGTACTTTCTAAAACAAATGCATTGAYTTAAAATACAGATGTGTTTGCACCAAAAAAAAACTACAAATATAGTTGATATTATTTTTAGAGGAAAATACCACAATAAATGCAATGTAAGCATGACAGTTATATTAGTCCTGTCAATATGATACCTTGGATTTTAAGGCTATATGATAAATGATAYTGTAAAAACACAAGAGAGAATACTGTGTGTATAAATGCCTCTCCTTCCTATTATTTCATCTTGGGAAGGAGTATAAAGTTAAATTTGGTAGAGAAAAAAAAGAAGTTTGTGAATATTTGGATTATTGATTGTTTAATTAAATTCCAGTGAGTTTTTTTTTTTATATGGGAAGAAGAAAAGAAGCCTATATTTCCAGGAGATATTTCTATCAACGATTCAGAGCCTTTATATCAACAACTCAATTCTGATTGGCCTGTTGGAACAAATAACTAATGGTTAATACTCTGCAGGTGCTAGTCCAGAATTTTGCTCCAGAGATAATTAGTGTAATCKTACATTGTTTCTAGTTTCTAAGTCAGTAGCTTTTGGTAATTATAGGTAACAAGTACTCCAGATGCTGCTGCTGTCACGCACATTTGCAAATTCTCATTGATGAACTGTTGTAGTTTAACATCTAGTAAATCTTTTTTTAATTTCAAAAAAAAACCACCTTAATGGTCAGCACTTAGAAACCTGCATGGGACTTTTCTAACAGCTGCTTCTCACAGGGGCTCTTCACATGCTTATCAAATTTTGTAGTCAGTTATAGGAAGAACATGACAGTATGTGATACTCTATTCTTTTTTCCAGTATTGTGTGATTATTCAGCATGTAATTTTTTGAGGGAATAATGGGAAGCTTGTAAGAAAATTCAAATAGGATGATGTTCAAGCGAGTGTGAACATAATTGTAGAAATATTATTGTAACTTATTTTCATACTTTGGGCTGTTTTACACTAGAGGAAATAATAAGAAATGGTGTGTTTCTGGCTTTTCCTTAGTGAGAAAATAATTTGGGAATAGGAGGGAGGATGAAAACTAAAATGAATTTTTAGTCCTGTTTCGTCTGTTTCCTATATTTGAGTAAAATAAGTTGATWGATACATTTTAGTGCTTTCATAGTYTCTTTGAGAACTTCTTTTCTTCTTGAGAATGCATAATAGCATGGGACTAGATAGCCAGAAAGTGACTTAATGGGAAGCTAAGCAGGMATGAATGAAATACTGTGTATATTATGTAGTTTTCTGTGAGATGCATGTCATTAACTTTCCTTATGTCTTTGCAAATACAAATTAGATCCAAACACAGCAGTTAGACAGAAGGTCTCTTGTGAGGAGTTTAAAAAAAAGGTTATCTTTAAACTGTCTATATCAGTAAGAGATCATGTATCATGATCCTATGAATATCATTACCTTTATTTCATTAAGTACTGGCAAGTGGGAGCTGCTTGGAAATGATGATGTGGGGTGATTTCCAGCAGTACAACAAYAAGGTTTTTTTACTTGTGTCGGTGTAAAAACTTAGTTTTATAAATAACATGACATAAATACTAGATAGCATATTTYGCAAAGCTTAATGTTAGGGCTGTTGCCTCTTTGGCTGCTCTTTGATGCTCTTTTAGGGCAAGCTCTGCATGGATCAGGAAGCAACTGTAACAAAAAGACCCCTCAGCTCTCCAGCTTTGGTGCTAAGTATTCCTGTTGGGAATGAGTAATTTAAGAGAGGGGATGGAGCCATCAGGCTGGAAGATACCAGTGCAGGCTGAAGGACATTTTCAGCCCTTCATCTGTGGTTTATGCTAATGTGGATGTCTTATTTTCATGCTTGTGCCTCAGTCTGTCATTTCATGCAGAAATATGTATGGAGGCAGTTCGTGATGTGATGTTGAGTGCTTCCYCAAACAGGCTGTGTACAGCTCTTAATTTGTCTTTCGTTGGAAGGCAGTGGTGTTCCTGGTTTCTATGTCTTTTCTGCTTGGTAAATGGTTGCCAGAACTTGCCTGGTCTTAGAGGCAAAAATAACAGTGTCTCTTTGTGCCTTCTCATGAAGGCTCAGKTTTTTTGTGGATTGGAGTCTGATAGAGGTCTGCATCTTGTCAGATGACATAGCTGGTTCCACACTTCCTATTCCTGATTCCAGCAGGAGTCTGGGTTGATGGATCAGAGGCATATTGAGATTAATTCTGCTTCAGAGAGACTGCAGTGTCTGGTTCCAGCATTCAGTGCTGTGTATGGTCATGTCTTCCCACAACAGTCA